AGGGTCCCTTTGGAACTTAGAAACGATAGGGAAAGAAAATAAGGAAAGTTTAGGGGAAATTTGGAAATAAAGAAAATGTGAGAAAAATAAACATGTATTCAAACTCAATATATTTATTGTTGATATTAATATATTTATGTTATGATAAGACTAATAAACATTAACATATGTAATACATTTAATAACATTATTTATATTTCAATATCCTCAGTAAATATCTCGAATCATGTTAACTAACCCTAAACTCTTATGGGAATAATGCTTAGATGTTTTCATCCAACCATACCCAAAGAGTATGCTCGAATTCGGACCAGCTTCATATTTCAGATCAGTTCTCAACATCTCATCCTATCGAGTAGTTATCACCATACTCAATTTGGGTTCTTATCAATTACTTGAGATTGTGAAAATGTGAAATAGTGTCATATGTTATACATTTATGTCTCTATATTTTTAGTGTTCAATTACCATGTTTCACACCTTCTGCTCAAAGTGCGCAGTTGCAATATTATAGATAACACCATCTCTTTATTTGATTTTTTTTTTCATATTCGTAATTTCTTGTAGTAGCCTTGTATTCAGCCTTACTCCGCCTTCGCACCATGCAATCACATTTGACTACTCATGATAAGATGGATAAATGGTCAATATGAGCAAAATGGTTTTTGTGAATAAAAGATCAATTTAAGGTGGACTAGTGGGTATAGAGATTAATGCATGCGATATTTCTTTCTTTTGTCTCAAAAGAATGAAGATGCGAGGATGAGAGGGAGAGGATGACCCAAACATACGTGGATTAGAGTGGCCGGGAAGGATATGGTACTCATTGGGTCAGACGAGAGTATAACTTTTGAGAGAGCAAATTGGAGTGATAGTTTACGTGTGGAGGATTGATCTATATATGTTTGTCTCCCTTTTCTTTATTTATCTTTTTGAACTCCGTTTTCGTATGTTGATTCATGTTAGCCGACCCCAAACTCTTTTGAGACTAAGGCTTGGATGTGGTTATTGTTGTTTTTGTGTTATAAAGATGGAGACAAATTGACCCCAATGGATACTCAATTACCCTATAGCCCCTCCCCCCAGAGTCTTGCATGCTTCCTATGAAATTACGGCTTGCTTCTACGTCAATGAGGTTTAGTATTGGAATTAAGGTTTGCATGTTTTATTCTCACTTACTGTTCAATTCTCTTCTTTAGGGTTTTGATGCTTGCCAAGGGAACTTCTATTCATAAATCTTTTCTTGTCCCTTTATTTGCTTTACAAGCCCCATCAGCTCTTGTCTCATGGATCAAGTAAGCCTCCCTGCCCTTTATTTTTGTGGTTTTTCATCATGGTGGTCGGTGGCTGCATAAAATGCCACTCCCAATGTTACATTCTAAGCTTTGATAAACTAATTGGACATCGGTTTGTAGGGGTGAGTACGGCCTTTGGACAGCGTTCTTGGCACTTCTGGTTCGCATTTTCTTCTTCTTTCCTGGTCAGTTTAATGGAAGCATCTATACTCTTTAGCATATATTCATCATTTTTATGTGTTATATTGGTCACACTGGTAGTAGTATAACTATCCTTGCAACATTTTTTTGTCTTTGTTGACCATAAGACGTCATGAAATGGTTTCACTTGGTTCATCAATATTAGAATTTTCAGTATGTTGTCCATGTTGGACAGAAGACATGAAGAAATCAGCAGGAAGGACCCCATCCATATTGAAGCTATTACTGAATCTGTTGATTTATGCTTTCATTTCTTTGATAAGTAAAGTATTGTCTTGTTCCTCTTTTCAGCATGCAACAGGGGCGGATCCACTTTGATATAGTGGGAGCACAAGCCCCCAATGAATAGACAATATAACATGAATAAATTTTATATTTTTGTTTTGAATAAGGTGCTCTAAAAAACTATTATGTGCCCCCAATAAAAGTTTAGGTGTCCCCATTTAACTTTTCCAAGCTAGGCAGAGAAATTGCTTTCGTCTGCCAATAGGTTAAAAATCATTTGGTAATTTAAGTTCTTAATTACTCCGAAATAATTTTAGAAGTTTTTTTGGCTACTTTGCTTAGATTTATTTAAAACGTGTTCCCCATATATTCTTCCTTTGTTAGTTTAATCAAATTCTTTTCAAGAAAATAATCGAAATATATTTGAAAGGCTGTGTTAATGGAGAAGGTTCAAATGGGTATGTATCCAACACCTTACCACTACTGCAATATGTAATGGAATTGTCACAACTATGATGGATCATTTTACAAAAGTTAAGACTAATAAATAGATGTCGTAAAATTCATGATACCCTATGTAGCACCGATACCGGTACGCGGAAACGCGGAAACGGGTACGAGGATACGTCAAAACAAAAAAAAGTAGGATACGGATACGGGGTCATATTTATAAATATTAAAAGTTATGGGGGTGTATTTACAAATATTAAAAGTTATAGGGGTGTATTTATAAATATTAAAAAGAGATTTTTTTTGAAAATATATACATATAATATCTAATGACATCTACCCATTCATTGCATTGAAGCATTTTCCTTTTTCATGATACTTAGTAATAAATTCATAATATTTCTCATATAGACTAGTGCATCTCGAAATATAAATGTAGTCAATAAGTCATTAATTTAAAATGAGAAATAAGTCAAACAATTACAATCTTGAAATTAAAAGTGCAAGTACCCAATGTTCTAGAATAATGAAGATAGAAAACAATATTTTAAAAGTTCTAACTTCGAATACATATTTTCACCGGAAGTATTAATTTCCAGGGATAATATTATCTTCCAAAAAAACAGCCTCCAATTCTGGTTCATCTATGGAGAGGTTGGCAAACTCAAGTACTCCTATATCCTCCATGCTCCCAAAATCATCTCCACCAACTTCCCACATTTTACTTTTGTCATTCATATACTGCTTAGAAGCTCGTGATAAAAGACGAAGATTGTTATGAACAAATATCAAATCCTCCGCTCACTTTGGAAGCAGTTTGTTTCTTCTAAATGAATTAATAAAAGAATAAGAACTCCAATTCCTTTATGAGCATGATGGTGAAGTAGGCAAAGTATGCCCGTAAAATGTAAATATAGCCATATAGGCCCATTATTTGATTACCAAGTAAAATGTAGTTTTAGTTTTTCATCTTTTAGAATTTTATTAAGTAAATTTTGGGTTTATTTTTTTTTAAAAGTTGATACGGGTATCCGTCGGGATACGAGTAACGGAAACTTTCAAAAAATTACAAAAAAAAAAATGGAAACTTTGAAAAACTGCTGATACGGCCCGGGAACGTACGGTACGGGTATCCTAGAGTATCGGATACGGGAACGTATCCGATACGCCGATACGCTACCCTAGGGAAGTATTTGTGCTTCATAGATGATACCTATTTTGATAATATTTTAGTATGGTATCTTCTAAATAGTGGTGCCCCCATTAACAAAGTTTTCTGGATCCCATGAGCAAGCTGAAACTCAAGAGTTGGACCTACCCTTTAAAAAATATTTCCCCTCCCCCCAATATTCTGAACTTGAGATTTTGTTGTCATGATAATTAGAATTAGGTGAATGTCTCGAAGAAACATGAGTTTGCAACCCAATACCATCCATTTCAGGTGATCTGGAACTTCCATTAATTGCACAACTGATGGTGATCTTGTCCCCTTATCAAGTTTCAAACTTAAGGTTATGTCTTTTTTTTGTTCACTTATTTTGCTGTTATGTAGCTTTCAGATTTGTTTCTTGATGCAAAATTTCTCTTTATTGTACTTTGGCAGGGGGACAAAGGAGGGTGTAATTCTTTCCCTGGTCATATCAGCTTATCTTGCTTTCCAGCATTTCTCACGTGCAGGAAGCTTAAGAAAAGCGTTTGATCAAGGTTCAATCATTGCCACCGTAGCCATATTATGCATTGTCGTTGTACCTTGCTTGCTCTTGATCTGACTGAATGTAGAAGCGTCATGAAAATGGCTTCATCTGTAATTAATGGTTTAATATCTATACATTTTTCTTTTGTGAAATCATAAGCGTGAAAATGACTTTAACAGTTTATGCTTATATATTTATCATGCAAACTTTATGGTTGAACTGTCAGTTTATTTTTTTGCGGCTCTGTAAATGTTTGTATATCTGGCCAGATATTGAGGATTATGTGTATTTCTTCCTCTGTTTTTAACAATATAACTGATGTTTGAAATAACATCTCAAGGGTCAAAGAGAGTCTTGCTTTATTCAGACTCACATGGTAATATGCAGTAAAAATATTCTCAATTTTAAGAATTACTATCACAAAAAGGAAAAATGACGCTTTTAATCCCCGACCTATACCACTGATACACTTTTAGCTTTGAGTCTTGCTATAATTGACCTCTTCATTTTCAGGTCATCACTTATCCCAAAGTGGCTCTTTTGGTCCCTCATCCTCGGAACCATAATGGGCGAAGGAGAATTAAAAGCCACATGGGAACCAAAAAATACAGAGGTTTATTATTCAGCGAGGACTAACGTTGTACAACTTAAGTAGGGGTGGACCCGGGCCGGGCTTTTATTTGAGAATGGGTGAACCGGAACCGGCCCGGGTGGCCGGTGGGTCCGAATCGGGTCGGGCCTCGGGCCACTTCCTTTTTTTTAAATTTTCTAATTAATCCCCGACCCCCCCCCCCCCTCACCCCCCCCCAAACCACCCCAAATGGCCCAAAACACCCAGCCCAACCCAGAAAAATAAAAAATTGAAAAAAAAGGCCCGGAACCGAGCCGGGCCGGTTCGTCTATTGGGTGACCCGAGCCCGCACCGTAAAACCACCGGGTCGGGCCTACCCGGACCGGTCCCTGGCCGGGCCACCGGTTCGGGCCGGTTCCGAACAGTGCCGGTTCGGGCCGGTTCTGGGTCGGGCCACCCGGCCCGAGTCCATGCCTAAACTTAAGTCATAGACTAAAGATGTGACATTCTCCCTTAGATTCAAGGAAGGTTCAGCAAATCTTTTGAAGACATTTTTAATAAATTCCCAGGAATAGGGTTGTTTATGGCGTTATAGATTATTATATGTCTTAGGAGGCAGAAAATGCACGTCTTTAACTACCTAAATTAAGCTGAAATTTTCAGTCTATAATAATGAAGTATGGATTTAAGTGGGAACTTATAGCTATAAAATGCTGACTACATACATACATACATCAAGATGACTTTCTTCACTTATCTCTTGGCTTCCTACCGGAGCTAAAAGTCATACAGAGGTGAAAGATATAGAAACTGCCCCTTGGTCGTAAGCTTTCGAGCATCATGATGGTTCTGTCTGTGCCTCTGAAGAGTTTGTAATGTTATGTGTGGAGGCAATAAAAAAAGAAACCAGACTCTTGTTGCAACTTCAGTGCCCTCTCTTCATTTATTCTGACTTTCGATTTACATATGATGCAACATGAGGGTAGAAAGCATGAGAAGTAGCACTAGGTTTGGTGAGAAGGTGTATGCTGAGTTAGGTGAATCTGTCGGCGCCCCATAATCTAATGGTTCTGGGGTATCTACTCCTGTTTGACCTGGCGGTGGTAGGGTGATAGCTGGTGTTGGTGTAGGCGGGCTGCGGCATTGCAAAATTTCAAATCAATGGCAAACCACAAAATACAAGTCCCGGTTATTTTTTTGCAAATGTATCGAGGAAACAAATGGTACTCCATATTTGGTTAGTTGTCCTGTTTTTATTTTTATTTTTTATGTAATAACAATAAAACATTGCGCACATAGTTGCAGTAAATGTCATAAAAATAGAAAACAAAAAGGGTAAAGTAGGAAAATAAGATCCATTAGTGGAGTTGGGAAAAAAAGAAACATAACATAATATTTGTAGCAATTCTTTCCAATGGGGAAGGAATAAGTGGTGTGTGAATCTACTTCTTAAAACTGCTTCTACTCTTTCAGGGAGTAGAAACAGATATCGGAGTGTTTGAGTGAAACTTCTTAAGTACTTCTGGTGCTCCAAATTACTAAAGCAGTTTTTTAGAAGTTGGGGGAGACACTTTTGAAAAAATCAATTCTAAACACCCCTAAATGGTTTGATAAAGTTGGATTTGGTAAGCAAAGAAACATGAGGATGTTAAGTTGAATGTGATTAAATTTAGCGATGTTTTTACCTTAACGGAATGGGGGTTGGAGTCAGTGTGGGGGTTGTAGGCGGCAGCATGGAGGTGGGAGGTGACTGTGTAAGAGGAGGTGTGGGTGAAGCAGTTGATGATGAATAGCTGCAGGTGCCGGTACCTGTAAGATCAAACCGAGGGATATATTGAAGGAAAAACATACTGTATATAGATAGGAAAATGAAAAAGAAGAGCTAGCTGCTAGCTAGCTAGACTATACACGTACTTGGATCTGTTTTTGTCAAGCTGGCCGTTCCTCCGAAGTCACAACTGGTAGGAACTGGGTTTTTTTGGTAGTAGTTATTGAATGCATAAGAGGCGTGAGCTAGAAGTGTGTTTGGCAGGTAACAACTTCCGCTTGTCTGAATAGCTGAACAGTCTGCCCCCCCGATGCCGCAAGCGTAGTCCAGAGCCACCTGTAAAGCAGTAGTTGGAACACCTGGTATGGCAACACACCATTGTCCGCTCGATGCTGCTGATGGAGTTGGGTTCGGGTTCGGGTTTGGAAGTGTGGGAGTAAGAGTGGGCGCAGGGGGGGTTGGAAGAGTGGGATCTGGGGCGGTTGGGGTCAGAGTGGGTGTAGCAGGGTTTGGAAGTGTGGGGGGAATAAGAGTGGAAGGAGGAATGGGAGTTATGGTAGAACCCGGGGGAGCGGGAGGAGGAAGAGTGGGAGTTGTGGAAGGAGTAGTGGGAACTGGATTGATGACGGGAACATCAGCATCAGCTTTCACCTCATCGTACATCGTCATAGTATGTGAAAACAACTCTTGAGGAGAATCAATGAGTTGTTGTTTTTTGCTTTTCCTGATTGCTTTTGAGCCATGATGTCTCTCTGCAATGCTTGTTCCTGAAGCAAGGAAGAAACAAACAGCTACATCAGATCTTCATATATATGGATGGAATGGATCGATTCTCTCCTTACATGCACCTATCATATATGCATCATCTCTTTCAACACTTCAAGTAAAGGATTTCTTTTGTACCATACATACATACATACATATAATATATATAATATACATCTCGCAACCACGTAATTAAGATCCCATCTCCCATCACTCCATCCACTTCTTTACCATACATATATATGGGTTGGTTTTTACATGTATAGTAGGGTGTAACGTGTGAAATTTGTTCGCAACCACTTTTACATGTAATGCACTTTTTGACGTTTCACCAAAATTTATATATTTACAAAAATGTCACCTTGTTTCAGTCAAACACTCTAATAATTTAGTAAATAAATGCTTTTTTGACAAAACGTCAAAAAAGTGTATTACACTATACATAAAGTGCAACGAATACAGGTAAAAGTGAGTGCAGAAGATTTCACAAGTTAAACATTTTTATTTGATCCTAACACACACACACACACACATATAGGTAGGCCCAAGATTGTAAATTTTTAGCCTATTTCATTTGAGATACTTCCGCGACCATTTTTTGGTGAAATTTTGTGAGAATGTACTCCGTGAAACGTAGATTATGTGTACCAAATTTCAGCTTTAAACTCAATTGGGAAGTCAGTAAAAAACTGCAATTTTATATGTATAAAGTTACATAGTTTTCAAGAATTTATTTAACTGACTTCCCGATTGAATTTTAAACTGAAATTTGGTGGGTATAATCTACGCTTCATGGAGAATATGCTCACAAAATTTTATCAAAAAAATCGACACGGAAACACCTCAAATAGTTACGCTACATGATTATTGTCATCTCTCTATATATACGTTGTATATAATACTTATAAACAAAAACTCATTAGAAATCATTAAACACGGTATTTAATTGGAAATCATTAAAATGGTTGTTTAATAATCTCATTTCGGAGTATTTGTTGTATACACAGGCCCACACACATATTCTTCGCTGGGGGTGAACATATCAATTTCGGTTCAGTTCTTATTGTATTCTGGGTTCGGTTTGGAACAGTTTGAAACACTGATCACCTAACAAAAATTATATTATCTTTCGGTTTGGTTCGGTTCAATTTGAGTTTGTTATTTTTTAATAAAATGTGAAAGGTTTGTTGAATTTCTTTAGTTCGGTTCGATTTCATTCGATTTTTTTCGGTTTCGGTTCGATTCGATTTAATACGGTTGGGAAGAAATACTATCAAACTCAAACCAAATTGTACATGTTTCGGTTGAATCATATCCAATTCAAAACTCATCATTCAAGTTTCAGACAGGTGGGGAGCATGCATTGTTTTTTGTTTTTGAAATGAGATGTGGGGTCGAAAATAATGGGGTGTAAAATCAAATTCCTCTATATAATAATTGTGAAAGCTGGAATATATATAGAGTTGAACATGCATATATACGTTTATGTCTAATAGTTGAGGGTTTATATAAGTTCTCTAATGTATAATATTTGGTATATTGTGCCAATCTTTCCATTCGTGTGCTTAATTATCCTAAAAAAGTTGAGGCACATACACTCCATGTGTTTTTTGACATAATACATACTCCGTATAATTTTTTAAGGGTATACTCCGTATTTTTTAGGGAAAACTATCAAATAAGCCCCGTATTATACCGAAAAAGTCGATTAGGCCCTCGTACTTTACAAACACTCAATTAAGTCCTCGAACTATTAAAAAACGTTCAATTAAACCCTTTCGGTCGGTAAGTAACCGGTTTCCCGGTTAAACGGTGGGAAACGGGTCATTTAACCGGGAAACCGGTTACTTACCGACAGAAAGGGCTTAATTGAACATTTTTTAATAGTTCGAGGACTTAATTGAGTGTTTGTAAAGTATGAGGGCCTAATCGACTTTTTCGGCATAGTACGGGGGCTTATTTGATAGTTTTCCCTATTTTTTATTATCCTTATCTATAAATGGTGTTGATCTTTTTCCTGAGAAACGAAAATTAAGATAAAAATGCATCATTTTCTAAGTTCAATGAGAATTAATATGGACAATTAAATATTTGAATTCAAGATAAATGGTTTAAGAACGTCGACATTGCCGAATAAACTATTCCGTACAATTTTATGCTACTACGGAAAGTACACTACTTGTTGAAGCATAAATGGGCATATCAGGAGCTAACAAAAGTGAATGGTTTACAACAAAAATCATTTTCAGTGCAAACGCCATACTTGGTATACATCACTACATAATACGCACAAGAATATGACTCTTGTGCTTTAGTACAGGGGTAAGACAGCGTACAACCAACCCCTCTTACCCCACCGAAGGTGTGGGACTATGGGAGCCTTTGCGGCACTGGGGTAATGATGATGACATACACACAAGAATATAATATTTCCTTCGTTCCTGAATAAACATCTCACTTTCCTTTTCGGACCGTTTCTAAAAAACTTCTCTTCCCTTATTCGATAAACAAAAAGTGTCAGACACTGTCAAAACAGTGTCAAATAGTGCATTTTTTTTTAAATTGTGTGTAAAACAAAGTGACAATTTTAGGGACAGAGAGAGTATACACACACAGGAGGGCAGATGTGTCGGGGATCATTATTATACATACGGGATGAGTTTAGATGATCTAATGTATTGTGATCAAGAAACTAATTAATACTCCGTATAAATTTACCTGAGAGAAGGAACAAACAGAAGAGATGCAACATGGCAATGCAAAGAACTCTTGAACTCATCCTTCAATCCTAGCTGCAATTTTATAATGGGCTTTTCTTCTTAATTATCTCTAGTTTATTGATAGATGAATATATATATGAGTAATATATGTCTCCAAGAGAGCAAAAGAAGAAAAGCAATAGATATGTATTTCTGTGAGGGGAAGAATTGAAGCCATTTCGTAGAAGTTTGTATATATACCCTACATATATGCACATACATTGCATGTGTATGTACATTGCAAAGAATCAAAGCTTTCTTTAATTTTAGTAGAGGTTAGTGTTATGGAATATAAGAAAACTTAAGAGATGAGGCATGGGATAGTTAGGAATTTCAAGAAACGAAAGGTGCTTAAATTGGGAAAAATAGAAAATGATACAAAGTATATATATTTTGGCTCAAAACAAATGGTAGTCATATGTATTTTGGGAAACTGACTGTCTTTTTATGATATTCTAGAATTTCCCCAAAAGATGGCTCCTATATTGCTATTAGTGTTTTTAATTCCAAAAATATGACTTTTTTTAGTTTTTTCAAAAAAGTTATTCATCCCATCAACTAACCCCCTATATATTTAATATAACATTTATTATTTTAATATATGAAATCTTAATAATAAGAAGTAATTAATGTTACATTGCATTCCCTACTCACCCATTCAGCGTTACCCTACTTACCCATCTTAATAATAAAAAGCAAGGCTTAACACGTTTTAGTCCATGTGAATATGATACACTTTGTTTTTTGTCTCTGCAAAAAAAATTTATCCCTACAATATGCATTATTTTGTTTTTAGTCCATCTCTAATTCCGGAACCACTCTACTTTTTTTATCATAAAAAACAGGCTTCTACTAGAAATATTTAAATTTGTCCTTTTATAATTTTTTAAGGCAAACATGAGAGCTAAAACAATGTAAAACTAAGTATTCACATTTTAAAAAATATATATTAAAAAAGTTATTCCTAAAATACTACTATTAAAAAAGTAATGAACAAAAATGTGACTAAGTAACTTTTAGTGACTATAATTGTGTCAAAATTTACATCATAGTAACTACATCATAGTAACTTTGAATACAGTTATAGTTACTAAAAGTTACTAAGTCACACTTTTGTCCACCACTCTTTCAAGAGTAATATTACTGAAATTTTCTTGTATTAAAAACCTTCCAAAAATTACAATTAAAAACTTTCGAATTACATGACAAAGAATTAGAGGAAATCTATTATTTGGGGTTATTTTGAGATCAATCGGAGGTTGTTATCATCAATGGTGGTCTAGAAAACCAACATAAATTGTAGGGACGAAAAACAAAATCAGAAATATAAAACAAAATGTACTATATTTGCGGGGCTAAAAACACATTAAAACCTAAAAAGTAATAATTGATGTTCAGTTTTTTTTTTGCCAAGAATATCTGAAAGAGAATTGCACTGAATAAGTATTTCTTACTCCGTATTTGATTGTAAGTAGAAGACAGAGTGAAGTTCCCATGCTTTTTGGGATCCAAACTATATTATGTTGATAATTATAGCCTTATAGGTAAGAGATCTTCCCCAATCTCATCAGTAGAACATAATGTCTCCATACCGGAGAATCAATGATTTTAGGATGCATATCTGATATCTCCATCTCTGTTATATCTTAGGTTCTTAAATTTAGACCGGAAGGAGGGATTTTCTTTCCAAGCCCACCAGATTTTTAACTGAAAAGCTCTTTGAATATCCAGTAGAGATCTGATTCCTAAACCTCGAATCATGCGGCCTACATATATCTTACTTCATTCAGTCCAGTGGTACTTAGGTTTGCCATCACAATCTCCCCAGAAAAAAATTGGACATCTTATTATTCAGAATGCAAATGACTTTCACGGGAGCTTAAAAGTGGCCAGATAATGAAAGGTATAGTTAGGGCCTTAGGGGTGGGCAAAGAACCGCGAGTCAGGCTGGTAATACAGATTCGGGGCGGGTTAGGGCCGGGTTCTGGTTTTGAAAAACTCAAACGGTTCGGGGCGAGTGTTTAAAAACTTAGAAACTGAACGGATCTTGAAATTTGAAAAAAAAAACGGGTACCCAAACCGAACCGTTTTATAATATTATCTTAATGAACTCTATTTAATATAATATAATAACGACACATGAAAGCTCTTCATGTTTATGTATCTGGACAAAGACTCTCAATTAAACAAACTTAATATTCTATTAGAAAGAGTTTCAAAGTCCATATAAACTCCTAAATTATTCCCCCAATTCTCTATTCCAAATGCATCAAGTTTTTTTTCTTAAATTTTTTGTGTGTACAAAGACTCTTAATCAATGAAGTGTGACATGTCTATTTAATTATCTTAATTTTACTTATATCTTGAGATTTAATAAGCTTTTAAATTGTTTTCATAGACAAAAATGTATAGTATAGTGCTATCTTTATGGATGATGATGTCTAAATTTTTACATTTTAAAATTTGGTGTTATTTTCCAAAAAAAAAAATTGGTGTTATTTAATTTATTTGGTTGTGGGTTTTGTAATTTATAGATTTGTGGTTAGATGTTTTGTTGACTAATTTAAAATGTTGTTTTATGTTTTAATTTGAATTTTTACTATATTGTGGTGAAAATGATATTTAACTAGTTTGAGAGTGTTATACTTTTATAGCTTACTAGATACTTCGTACTTTGTTGGCATAGCGGTATTTTTTTTTACAAAAAAGAACAAAGAACTTGGACTGAGCCGGCCCATTTCAAACGGTGCAGGTTAGGTCCGATTCTTATTTTGAAATTTAGTATACTCAAACCAAACCTACCCGTTAATAGTCATGGACCCGGTTCGGGCCGCCCGGCCCGGGACCGGCCCGGCCCGCCACTGTGCGGGCCCGGAACCGGCCCGGTTCTCGGGTCCGGGTCGGGCCTAGGCCCGGTGGGGGGGACGGGTCCGGGCTCGGGCCTTGTATTTGGCGAACCAGCCCGGCCGGGTCGGGCCCGGGCCCGGGCTGAATTGATTTTTTTTTATTTTTTTTTTTCATTTTTTGGGGTTAGCCGGGTTGGGCTTGATGGTTAGGAGCGGTTTGGGGGTTTGGGGGGGGGGGGTGAGTGGGGGAGTTAGGAAAGCATTAAAAAAAAATTATGACCGAACCGGAGGCCCGGGCCGGTCCGGTCCCGGGCCTTCCTTCCCAAAAAAAAGAGCCCGGCCGGGCCCGGCCCGGGTCCATGACTACCCGTTAAGTGGAACCGGCACTTCTTGAAAAGTTATCAATAACCCAAATCGACCCGGACCGCGCCCACCCCATATTTCCTAACAAGGTTTTAACACCCTAAAACCCATATTAATACTAATAATCTCTAAAAGTTTATTTTCCGGCAAATCAGTCACTTTGGCTTCTAAGTCCGTTCTTGAACTTAGAACCACCTTCCAACCCCTCGTTGTTACATTTCTATGCATGTAGAAAACTTCTAGGGGTTCTCCGTATTATACATAAGGTCCTTACATCTTTTTCTCAAGCTTTCTTCCTAATATTTCTCACTTAGCTTCCTCCTTGAACTTCTTCCTTGCTTGAGCTCCAATTGGCTATGGAAGAATGGTGTTGCAGAGCTCTCTCTCTCTTTCTCTTGGGGTGGTTTAGTTGAAGTGATAGGGGTAGATAGTAGGAATGATCCTAACTTTGTCTCATTGCAAATAAATGTGGGAGTTAGGTCTACATTTATTTGATCCCATTCCTTTCACCTCAGCCCCCTTCCAAACATGTTGTACTAGAGATGTGTAACACAAATTTTCCAAAAGTATTTATGAAAGTGCAACTGAGCATGGTTCACAAGGCACCTTACCTACACCAACGCAAAAAAAGTGTCCCAAGTACTTTCACAAGCGCTCATAGGAGCATAAGAGCATTGGCTTTGCTTGTGCCGTAGACCTTCCTATGTCTTTGCGTTAGTACGGATCTCCAAAAGCATTGCTATAAGTGAGGGCTTTTCAGCAACCTCTCGAGGCACACAATTAACGTCACAAAATAACCAACTACACTTTATAATCCACCTTTATTGATATCGCCAAGTTCAATAGTATTTAATATTGCAACTACTGTTTTTCATAAAGTATTACACAAAATTAACTATTTGAGAAGAAAATTACACAAACAAAAATGATTTTTAAAACGTTGTTCATATCATAAAATATTTAATCCAACCAGTATAACAATAAAAATGAGGTACTTTTAAACGAGGGTTGATCAAGAAATCACACTAACCAGACAAGAGACGAGGCAATTAAAAAACGCAACAAACCTATATGCACCCAATAACCAGGCAATAGGAGTCATGTGGTTTATTCTATGCTATCCATGCGGGAAGTGTCACGTGGATTACCCACTGTTGTTACACTCTCACACACATGGGGTGTGTTAGTGTGAAAGGGAGTGTGTGTTCCAAGAGTAACTAACATTCTAACCCAATGGGGGCATTACCCAAATGGGTAGCAATGCAGGCATGCAGCAAAGACAGTCTGCTTTGGAAGGGCCAGAAGGGCTTTACAGGTAAAAATGATGTGTTGGTGACATTTTTAGAGCATTAAATAATAAGAGTATAAAACATTTAAAAGTGCTTTCAAAAGAAACAATGGAAAATAAGCTTCTTCTGAAGTGCTTTCGAGCTAAATAACACTTTAAGAAACTCCCATCATAAGCAACGTGTAGCTGAATTATACTGCTTTGTAGTAAAACACAGCCTTGTTTAACACAACCACATCCAAACGAGCCTAAACTGGAGTCACAAGCAGATCAGATTATTGATAATTTCTAAACATCAGCAAATTTTGCTTTATCCTCTATTTGGTTTGTGACATTCGGACAGGTGTTTGGTGACTTCATTCCAAGCTGCAAACATTAGATGTATGTGTGTGTATTAGAACATAGAAAGACTAATCCTCTTTTAATTAAGTAGGACCAGAACATGCTTACTAGGGAGATTCCTGAAATCAGGTTTGATACCATTTCCATTAATGTCCATGTGATTTGGTGTAACATACTTCCCAACAGTAACAACCACACCTGATCCATCTTGAAGCTCGAAAACAGATTGAATCAGTCCCTGCACAGAAAATTTAACACTGCTTTGAGTCAACGAATACTTGCCACACCACCTCTCTGTATATTACTCCCTCTGCCAAAATAACAGTCCACAAGCTAAAGGCACTTTTTCATGAATAGTTGGTGT